ACGTCCCCTTGTTTCCTCATCAGCCCGGAGGAAAGTTCCTCGATACTTTCCGCTTTCGTGCGAAACTTTCGGATGGCACTCTAAGTGCAAGAGACATCGAAACCGAAAGAACAGTGCGTCGTAGAAATTGCCACGAAAGAGTCAACCACTCGATATCGAGGAACAGGAATGCTTCTACTATCGATACCCAAATCAACATTCAAGAAACATTTTTTCGTGGAATTTTAGAATGTCCAGCTTAACCGAAATACTCTTATTTCTTAAATTGACTCGACTCTTCGTACTAGGAAATGGATCACCGAATCGAATGCTACTCCGTCGCCGTATTGCTTACTACGAGCACGAACTCTACGCAGCAAACTTATTACGAAATATTTTCGATCCCCGCATGCGTTATCTTCCATCCGCAGCAAATGTTCGATGCGTACTCCGTTAACGCGAACAAAAATACTTTATTTACTTCTGTTTACAGTTATGGAAAGACTCGACACGTTTCGCTGCGATCGCTTAGACAGCACTGTGACGCGCGTATACCTGTTACCGTGTTCACTTTGCGGCTACCGACTCATTACTCGCTTGATTTCAGATATGCGTGCGATATAAGACATTATTCTGTCAATGGCTCTCAGACGAAGATGCGTTATCGATTGAATTAAAATAATTCTTGGGTCCCATGCTTATAGAGACTTTTAACTATCTTCTGCGTATATACAAAACTTCTCCAACGTGACTTCGAATCAATATCCCGGTAAAATAAAAATTAAGCTTTCCTCAAATATTGAAGTAGAAAGTACCACGCTAGACTCCATGATTTTCTGATAAACTATCACCGAGAAATAAAGAAAGAAACAGCCTTTCATGGATCTACGTACGCCTCCGCAAATGCAAAATTTAAACAAAAAGCAAATATCATGGAGTAAACATCGATGCCTCATCTGTTCAAGTCACTGTACCAAATTTCACCGTTTTCTAACAAATCCTTCCTAAGAGAAAACAAAATCAGACTCCGTAATATTCAAATATTCACACCCCCTAACGTAAATAATTTTCTAAACAGTTCCTTTCGTAATGTCTAATTTCAGGTCACCTGGAAGCATACAGGAGTGTCAGATTTTCGCTCTGATTTGAGGGACCAACCTGTGGATAGCTACACGAGGACCGCCATGGTCCTAATCCCGACTCCCAACCCATGGACTGCCACTCATCGCCCAATTGCCTGGGAGACGGGATCCCAGAAACGTCAGTCTCAATTACAATCGCTGAGAGCGACGTTCCAGGAGGGAGGAGACGCAGGACTAGACGTTGGACGAGGCAGGCAGAGCGAGAGGAGGCCGTCGGCCTCGACTGTTCTCCAAGAGGTCGACCCACTTCGCCCAAAGGCGAGAGGGACCGCGCTGGCTGCCAGTTACGTACATACACGTACATACGTAAATATATCTACGATCTCCTCTTTGCCTCACCCCTCCACCAGATTCTTTCTCCTCCTTCTCCTCTCTCTCTCTCTCTCTCTCTCTCTCTCTCTCTCTCTCTCTCTCTCTCTTTCTGTCTCTCGGTACAGTCGAGAGGCATTTCGTATCGGTCGGAACGATGCCGTAACGCTACCTTGATAAAGCGTTTCCTTATCGTCGCGTTCGATCGAGTCGCTGGAAACAAGGATTCGTCCATTTTCCAAACGTAATTGCGCGGTGACAGGATTTTCCTTTCTATCAGAGTTTGTGCACATGATGGCTCAGCCATGGGATGCGCTCTTGCTTCGGTACACTTTTATCGAGGAGATTCTGCGAAGAGGTATGGAGGTGTAAAGGATCTTGGAAACTCTAAAGATTTTTCGTTGGGGAGGGAGGACGAATTGGTTTTGAGATTATTGATTACGTTTTTATGCGAGTAATGGCGTTAGTCATTCATATGTGGGGGTGAGATCCTGGGCAACAGTAAAATAACCTTTATCAAAATTCGAATCATTAAATCTGCATTTGGGACTTTGAGTATTTGGGGATCTAAAATTTTGGAGCTTTGCAAATTTGGGACTTTCAGTACTTGGGGATTCGAAAAGTTTTGAGCTTTGAGAATTTGGGAGTTTTTGATTTTGGGAGTTTGAGTACTTGGGGATCTAAAAGTTTTGAGCTTTGAGAATTTGGGAGTTTTTGATTTTGGGAGTTTGAGTACTTGGGGATGTAAAATTTTTGAGCTTTGGGAATTTGAGAGTTTGAGTACTTGGGGATCTAAAATTTTTGAGCTTTGGGAATTTGAGAGTTTGGGTACTTGGGGATCAAAAATTTCAGAGCTTCGGAAAGTTGGGAGTTTGAGTACTTGGAGATCTCAGATTTTGGAGTTTTGGGACTTTGGGACTTTGAGTACTTGGGATCTACAATTTTCGAACTTTGAGTATTTCGAGATCTAAAATTTTGAAGCTTTGACATCAACCTGTGAAGACTCATTTTATGCAAACTACACCTCAAAAGACTCCTCCGACTTCTCAACAAAAGTATCAGGAGTGTCCCCACCGTCCAATATTAAACCTTGCCATGTACTCTGAATCTCTATTTCGACTAATAAATTTCGTTCTTAAAAAAGAAACGCCATTAGCGGTTGTTTTACGAGGTACGAAGGCCCGTCCAACAGCAACGGCTACTTCGCCATGTAGATCTTATGGCGTATAATTGATGGAACAGATACGGCAATCTTGTAAGAACCGCGGGGTGCCAAGACGGTAGCGCCCTTAACTGCAGGGTGCGAACAGTCCAAGACTGGCGCGGAGGGATCGTGTTTGAGCGCCAGAAATTACAGGGCCTGTGTGTCCCAAGGCGAGCAGACGTTGTGGGCAGTAAACAGTACACGCGACCCTGTAATCAATACTCCGCAATCACGCGGGGAAAACATATTCGACAGTTTGTGCCCGACAAACAGGTCGTCGTTTAACAGGGACCACTCGAAACTGACCAAGTGTACATTATGTGGCTAGTGTAGTACAAGCATGGAAGTTGAAGCTTCCAGCTGATCAGTTTCGTTACTTACTATTCACTTTTTAAAAGATATTTCTGTAGATCATTATGCTAATTACTATATTGACAGGTATAGAAAAAGAATTCAAACTTAAACAAAAGTGTGCTTCATCTTCTAAATGGTATAACACGTATATTATTGTTGATATATTATGTATGTTTGTCACAAATGCATAAACATCAGGAGTTCAGATATTTTCAATCCAAGTCATACCTAAGATTCAATGCACGCCTCCACTGATTTGCCTACTATCATCGCTCATCCTCGCCCATAAGCAGCTGAAACGCAATTTACAAGACGGGATTGCGTTTCATTGACTCGTCGGCAACGCAAACACGCGAGCGAGTAATCTAATCAATTTCCCAAGCGGACTGCCTACTGTAAGACGTTTTTATGGTGGATGTTCCACAAATATGGACTGGTAGATAGCAACGGGCCTCTGGACAGTCCCTGGGAACTAGGAAAGTCCTCTCCGAACAATCTTCCTAATTTCCTTCGACATCCTAAACTACTTGCGTCAGTCTTTCTATGATCACGCGATGGATTCCTACTTTGCACAAGTCTTATTCAAGCTTCCAATCACAGTTCCATTCGCTTACTGGCTTCGCAGCATCGGACTCAAACGCAAATTAGAAAACGCCTTATAGGTCACTACGAAATGTCTTTATGGGGAGTATAGATCTGATGTGGACTTGAAGATAGCAGGGGACCTTTAAACAGTCTCTACTGGGACCTTTCGCAATAGTAGCGGGTCTTTTTAAATAGAGTGTCTTCGTGTATGTAGTCGGAGTGTGTTTCTTTACGTAGCTCGATGTCCTAGGCTACCTGTTTTCTTGAATTCCGAGGAGAACCTTCCTCAACTGCGCTAGTTCCCATTGGACAGTATTCCTTTATACACAGGCTTCAAATAACACCTTTACCAGTTTTTCAAACTTCAAGTAACACCTTCATTAGTTCCAAATTTCGAGTGACATCTTCACCAGTTTTCCTTCTAGCTTTGTATCACCGTATTTATGAAACAACGCGCATAAGAGTAAATAGATCCCTTCAAAAATTTTGGAGCTTTGGGAATCTGGGACTCTGAGTACTTGAGTATCTCAGATTTTGGAGCTTTGAGAATTTGGGAGTTTAAGTATTTGGGATGTAACATTTTTGGCCTTTGGGAATTTGGGACTTTGAGTACTTGGGAATCTCAGATTTTGGGGCTTGAGGCATTTGGTACTTTGAGTACTTGGGTATCTCAGATTTTGGAGCTTTGGGAACTTGGGAGTTTGAGTACTTGGCGATGTAAAATTTTTTAGCTTTGGGAATTTGGGAATTTGAGTACTTGAGGATCTCAGATTTTGGAGTTTTGAGAATTTGGGAGTTTGAGTACTTGCGGATCTAAACTTTTGGAGCTTTGGGAAATTGGGACTCTGAGTACTTAGGGATCTAAAATTTTGTGGCTATAGGCATTTGGTACTTTGAGTACATGGTGATCTAAAATTTTGGACATTTGGGAAATTGGAAGCTTTGAGAAATTGGCACTTGGAGATTTTCAAACTTCAAGTAACACCTTCATCAATTTTCCAAACTTCGAGTAACACAATCACCAGTTGTCTTCTAGCTTCGTATCACCGTATGTATTAACCAACGCGCATAAATAAATAGATCCCCTAGAATCTCCTTGAAATCCTTAATATTTGAAAACATTTCAAACTAATCGTACACAAGGTGCAATACCACCTTCGCCAGTCTCTTTGCTACACACGCGTCGTAAATCTTCCCCACCCACCCAGCGATTCTCGAAAAGAGACAACAAATCTCTGTTAATCCTATCGAAATCGTCGACCGCGGCGATATTGGCTCAGGTAAAATTACTCTGGTATTCCTGGCGGGAGACGACACGTGGTTTGTGCAGTAGCGGCTGGCAGCACGCGGCTCCCTACTCTTCCGCTTCCACGGGTTCCTCGTCCACGCTGGACGCAATCAGCCGATCCTCAAAGCGCGACCGGTAGTCGAACCGCGTGCACGTGGAGCCCGACGTGGCCTCTGCCTCCGTGGATCTCCGTGGATCGCGATCGACTGATCGATCGCTGGATGATATCGTTGATCGATCGAGCTTCCATTCACCCCGAGGATCTCGTCGGTACGTGACCGCGATCGCTGGATGATCGAACGTCGGAATCGAACGTGCGCCTGTACAGAAGGATCGTGATCGCGATCGATCGAACACCCGAGACCTAATCGAACGTCATCGCCTGATCGTGAGTTAGTAGATCGTCCTCGATAGACGACTCGACGAAAATTCTGAGTGAATCACGGGTAGCCATCGACAACGGTCGTCGTACTCGAAGTAAGTCCAGGAGGATTTCGATCGAAGGAGATCGAGCCGCGCAGGGTGGATCATCGGGAGTTCAGTGGCACATGTGATCTACAGTCGTGATCAGGAGCTGTGTCTGGGTTCTCGCGGGACGATCAGTTTTTATCCCGTGCCAGGGAGGGCCCCGAGTATGAGTGATCAAGAATGAAGGAAGGGTGAACACGTTCGGCTGCCAGGAACGAGCTGTCTCAAATCGGTGAGTCGATTTTTGTGTTCCCGTGGCCTTGCTCGCGAACGGTAGCGAGCGCTTAGGACCCTGTCTGTACGCCGAGCCGTTCCAACTGGTTCTCTGACTTTCAGTTGTTTTTGTTCTTCGGATAGGTTATTTTGCTTCGGTTTGTTTCGACGCTGCCGTGGAAATCGTGTGCGAACTCGGGGTAATATTGTGAATTGAATTAGAGACGGGTATCGAAATTCGCTGGAGCCACAGACGAGTGCAACGGGCTCCTGGAATTTCTGACGCTCAGAGTTTTAAGTTCAGACTGGTTGTATTCGAAGTGGGTATTGTAGAGGAGGCTTGAGATGAGACTTTGAGAATTTTTTAGTTTCAGTGCGTAGGTCTTTAGATGCTTTGGGTCTTTGAAATTTTTGAGCTTTGGGAATCTGGGACTTTGAGTACTTGAGGGATATGAAATTTTGGAGCTTTGAGAATTTGGGACTTCGAGTGCTTGAGACATAAAATATTTGAGCTTTGGAATTTGGGACTTTGAGTACTTGGTGATCTAAAATTTTTGAGCTTTGGAATTTGGGACTTTGAGTACTTGGGATCTAAAATTTTGGAGCTTTGGGAATTCGGAACTTTGAGTACTACTGATCTCAGATTTTGAAGCTTTGGGAATTTGAGAGTTTGAGTACTTGGGATCTAAAAATTTTGAGCTTTGGGAATTCGGGACTTTGAGTACTACTGATCTCAGATTTTGAAGCTTTGGGAATTTGAGAGTTTGAGTACTTGGGGATCTAAAATTTTGCAGCTTTGCAAATGTGGGACTTTCAGTACTTGGGGATCCAAACAATTTTGAGCTTCGGGATTTTGAGATTTTGAGTACTTGTGGATCTAAAATTGTGGAGCTTTGGGAATTAGGGACTTCGAGTACTTGAGCATCTAAAATTTTGGAATCTTAGAAATTTGTATTTTTGAAACATTGTAAACTTAGAACTTAAAAAATAGAAATTTTAGGATCTAGGGGAATACGGATTTTAAAACTTTTTTTATTTTGGCACTTCATGAACTTAGAAACTTAGGCATATTGAGACCTGATATTTTGGAACTGTGAGAATTTGAGGCCTCGAGATATCGAGACGTTGACGAACCTTACATTTAGTGACCTGAAAAATTTTAATGTTAGAGCTTCAGTCCAAACTGTTCAACTTCGAGTCCTCAAGGAACTAGGTACTCAATCAATAGTATAGCAATCTTTAGTATGCAAATGCTGAAAGACTTCAATAATTAAATTAAACGTCGCACCTGTGTTCGCGATTTTTTTGATCAGACACCGTCAACCGGAAATTGGAAATATCATTCGAGGGGAGATTCAATTTCAGATGAGAGATCTGGCTCGCGCAATTAGAGTGTTTATTAGCACCGTTCCTCGAGGATGCTTTTAAAAGCAGACGCTCGACCTACTTGACTTCCGAATCGACGGCTCGCAGTCTCATTTAGAAACTAGAATATCTCGCAGGGGTTCGCGAACTCCGCAATTTTCTCGTCGTTTGACACGAATGGAGATGACTGTTATAAAATAAAATTACATATCCGATGCGTCACGCGGCTCGCGTCGTTAGTATTCCGCTCGCCTCGCCGAAACGAAAGTGACTTAATTTCTGTGAATTGGTGCAGGCGCGTATCCTCGAACAGGAACAAAAAAAAATAACTGAAACGATGAATAATGGGAATCAAAACTGAGACGCGAGACGTGTCGACGATCACGCGCAATTACTCCCCTTTGCTCCATTTTCAAACGTTAAACCATTCATTTAAAAAAGAAGCTCGCACAGTAATCGAAGTAGAACGAAATCGTTTAAATCAATTTTCTCGGACCATACTGCCTCGACTATAAATAAAAATCAATTACAATTAAACAATATTAAAATCAGGAAAAATTCATTTTCATTATCTTGAAAAGTAAATGTAAACGACGACTTTCTTATTAAATTTATAACGATACGGTTCTTTACCGATACATTCCGTCGTGCGATAAACTACATAAAATATATGCATCAACATTCGAAGTCGAGCACAATCCGAATCGACGTTTTAGATAAAATATGATGCGCAGATCGAGAGATAAATATACAGTTACGGTGTTAAAGCGAGGTACAGTTATATGCTCTTTAATAACCTAACCCAGAATACAATACAATAAAAATGCGCCAAGCGAAGGAACACGAAAAAATCGGACGCAGGAAAACTTCGGCGTACAGGTTAGAGAAAATAACTGTTACGAAAACAAGAATGCAACGCTAATTCCCCCGAGAATTCTATTACGTCATATTCGCGGTGATAAAATCGATGACATTCCGCGATAAAACGGTAGCTGAAATGCAAATTAGAATATAGAGCCGCGTTTCATTGACTCGTCGGCAATGCGAACACGTAATCGGTTGATCTAAACAGGTAGTTCTCGAAACTGGATGCATTTATGTTCCCAGGTACGCGTGGCACTAATATCGGCTAGTAGATAGGATTAAATTTGTAAACAGCCCGTAAAAGACCTATCGCAATTGTACTAATTTTCTCTGAACATTTCTCTTCGTCTTCGAGCTATAAACAATCTATAAAAAAGACCTTCGTGAAATTGCACCTCTCCGATGAATTCTAATCTCATTCGACATCTTTGCTTTACTACGATGTATCCAAAAGAACGCAATGCATTCTAAGCTTGACCAAGTCGTATTCCAGTCGTATCTTCATTGGTTGTCACTTACAAATCTTCGAATGACAACCTGACCATTTTAGTCGCGTCAGAGGTTTGTATCATCGTTCATTCTCGTAGGTAATCGAAAAATCTAAACAATTTTTTGGACTTGGTACTTGGTATAAAATCTGCCACTGATATGGACTATAGCGAGTGGATTTTAAACAGTCCCTATTCCTACTAGACATCTTTGGAGAATCTTCCTAATGTTGTTCAACATCCTTGTCTACCTCGAGTGATTCAGACGATTCCACGGAAACATGATACATCCCCATCGTGTCCAAGCATCAAATCACACCTTCACCAGCTCGCCTACCACCTCTGTATCATTACTCATCCTCACCCATAACCCGTAATCAGGTCATCTGAACAGTTCTCTGAACCGACTGGCTTAGTACAAGGTGTTCTTACGTTGTAAGGTAGACGTGTCACTGGTACGGACTAGTAGATGGCAGGAGAACTCTAAACAGTCTCCTAAAGACCTTTCTCCACTGTACGAGTTCTCCGCGATCAATCTTCCTAATCTCGTTTGACATTCTAGACTACCTAGTCATGTTTCAATGTCTCCACGTTTCATGCGCAGCCATCAAAACACACCTTCGCTGGTTTGTTTACAGTCATTTAGTGAAACTGCAAATTATGTGTCGGTTTATTGTTTTCATTATGTTGTTCCAAGTTACAGTTAGGTTGGCTTGCTAGTTGAATAATCGCGGACGTGATTGACGACGCGTTGATAGTTCGTGCTGGGACTTTGGGACTTTCAGATTTTGGGAGTTTAGGAATTTAGGAATTTCAGAATTTGGGAACTCGATTTTTGGAGTTTTGAGCTTCTAAGTTGTTCTTGAGAATTTTGGGACCCCTGAGAACACGAGATTTTGAGACCTTTGAGAACTGGAGATTTTTGGGCCTTGACACTTTGGAGTTTTGAGATTTTTGGGTATTGAAACTTTGACGTCTTCAGACTTTGGATCCTTGAGACTTCGATGCTTTGAGATTTTGGTGCCTGAGACTTTGAGGCTTTAAGATTTTTGAGTCCTGACACTTTGGAGTTTTAAGATTTTTGGGCCTTGAAACTTGGAACCTTAAGACTTTAGAGCCTTGAGGCTTTGGAGCCTTGAGATCTTGGATATTTTAATCCTTGAAAATTGAAACTTGGGACCCTTTAAACTCAGTACTTTGGGACCCTTGAAACTTGAGACTTTGAGTCCCTCGAAACTTACGAATTCTCATGAATCTTAATTTTTGTGACCTAGAAAACTTAGACTTCTAAAATTTCTGATCTCGAGATCAATCATATCACATTATCCTATACCTATCATACTCAGGCTCCATATCACAACCTGCCCAATTTGCTCATCACCTACCGAACAGCAACGTAAACTACACACTGTTGCCCAGCACCTAATAGCATAAATGCAAATCGGAACAGAGAACCGTGTTTCAATATCTCGTCTGCAACATGTACACGTAATCGGGTAATCTGAACAATTTTCTAAACTGGCAACGGACGCTTTCTATGGCCGTGGCTCGAGCGTTACGCATTGTCGAGCGAACCGGTTACCAGGGCAGATCGGAAACGCAAATAAATTTATCACGATAAAATCGAGCCGCGTAATCGACGTGAGACGCGGCTGATCGCCTCGGGAATGTATTACCGGAAATAATCAGGAGTCCATAAACCGGTGTTCTTCCAACACTTACGGTGCCAATAAACTCCGTTCGCGGTGACTCGACTCCGATTTGAGGAACGATGAAGTTTGACGTAAAGCAGGAGACACTGAAGACTTTGAAATTGTGGGACTTTGGAAACTCAAAGCCTTTGAGACACTTGGAACATTAGAT